CTTGGCTGCATTTTTAGGTAAATAGTACCATATAACTTTGTTGTTTGCAAAACTTGTGCATAATTTTTAGAAATGTACAATTTCTATTTGCATTTCAAGTTATGAAAATGATTCGTTAAACATGTTTGTGGGTTTTACAGTAAAAAATATAACTTTTTCTACTCGGATATTAAATTTTATGTCTGAATTTAGATCAAATATAGTAAATATAGTATACCAAAATGAAAAAATAACTCTCATTTCAGATATTTGAGGTTGTGCTGAAAATAATGATACCAAACAAGGCAAGAAAAAGATATTTTAAAAGTGAAATATAGACGTAAAATCAAAAGTAGTCAAAAACGGCCAATTATACCCTGGACTCCAAAGGGTTAAGCCAAAAAAAAAATGAAGCACACACTTATTTTTACATTACATAACACACCTTTTACATATTTGTGGAAAAACTCTAAAGTAGGAAAATGGGTTATAAATGTTTTTTTTGTTTTATTTATTTATAAGCAAAAGGAATTCGGTCATTGTCTTTTGTTTAATTTTCATTATGAACTGTACAAATTACTGCTGATCGGGATAAAAGTTCCTCTTTACATTGAAATTGGGGGAAGGGAGGGAAATGGAAACAGATGGGGAACACAAGCAGTAGACTAGACAGAGGGAAGCAAAACTGAACCCGCTGAACATAGGGTGCAAAATAAAACAGGAAACACACTGAGCCGCAGACTAAGACACACAGCTTGACACTGGGTTTGTTGAAGAAACAGACATGGATTCACATGACATAGAGGGGAGAAGAGGAATGAAACACAAGGAGGGGAAGCATGGTAACAAAAGAGGGAGACAGAAAGACAGGACACGACTAAGAGCTGAAGGGCAAAGAAGACACACAGAGAGGGAGTGAAGGACACATAGATGAAGACAAAGGCACAAAGGTAACCTAATAAACAAAAACACATAAACTAGAAATTCGCAAACATACTCAGCAACGTAAAATGCAATACTAAATTGTATCTAAATCTAAAAATATTAAATCATTAAATCATCAATCAATCAATCAGTCTTTATTTATAAAGCACTTTTCATACAAAAAATGTAGCACAAAGTGCTCTACATAGTTAAAAGCAGCCCACCCCACCCTCCAACTCACT